AGTAAAACACAAAATAAAATACAACAGAAAAGACTTAGCATATTTCTAGCTTAAAAAATAAAATTAATATCCAAGTGTCTAGTGGCCTAGTGTCTAAGGAGTTGTGTTACCAACCCAAAGGCATGTGGTTCAAACGCACCAGCTGCTCAGCAGGAGTAAAATGGCTCTTTTCTCCTGTGTAATTTACAGCCTCTGAAAATCTACATTTTTACTTCAATTTAGTGGCAATGAATGAGGCAACTTAAAAAAAAACCCACAAAACAAACATGTGACATGTCTGTTTTAAACAAAGAAGTCATTCATGCTACATCTCAATGAAATCTTTACTAGACATCAGAGTTGCTAAGTCATAATATTATGCATACATACAAATCCAGGGTTAAGAAAATATTTTTAATGCAATTATAACCATCCAAGCCCTCTGCAACTGGACTTTTGCTGACTCCTTGAGGGAGTCAAATCACTAAATGCAAAATGCCTTTGTCAGAAGCAAATGGATCTAGTAATTTAGCTTCTAGGAGGCTCCTGCGCGTCCTAATCATCCAATTAAGGCAATGACTTGACACTTTTCAATTTTGTAACCAGGCAAGTTCATTAGATCTCTGCCTCAGTTTCCCCATTTATTAAAAAAAAAGCTAATAGTTCCCACCACTTAGATTAATTGGAGTAAAATGCTTGACACAGTGCTCCATACACTCAGTAAGTGGTGGCGTTGAGCTATTGGGTTGATTTTTAAAAACTTTATTTTATATTGGTTTGCATACAAACTCCATATTCATTGCCTCACACATTCCTCACCCACATTTGTTTCATATTCCCATACACTGCGCTTTATAAAATGAATCACCATTTATCTACGCCCGCCTGAGTTGATTTTTGACCCATAGTGACCGTGAGTGACAGAGTAGAACTGTCTCACAGCATTTTCTGGATGGCATTCTTCAGAGCAGATCCTTGGGTCTTTCTACTAAAGAGCCACCATTGTGTATGTGAGTCCACCACGTTTTCAGAGGCAGTAAATCATGTAGAAGGAGATTGCCATCCTTTTCCCACAGAGCAGCTGGTAAATTCGAACCGAAGGGTTAAAGTGCAGCTTCACTAGAGCTCAAAGAGGCACTGAGTGGGTCTGAACTGTCAACCTTTTGTTTAGCAGTCAAGCATTTACACATTGTGTGAAAAGGACTCCTTTTCAGTAAGCTCACCTTTTATCATTATCATCATTTATTGTTATTCAACACGTCAGAGACTCCCTGTGCGGAGGCTACTGAAAAAACTCAAAATTAGTGATGGACTTATAATCACGTTAATTCATTTAAATGACTTTTAATTGTGTAATTAATATAAGAGATACAGTGCATAAGTGTGCAATTATACAAAATGTGTATCAATTATATAATTAATACACATAATGTGCAACTGTGTAATTAATATGCATTTTGCATGTTAATTATATCATTAAAACATATGTTATTTGTGCAATATTGTATAATCAGTGTTACATGTTTCTTCAGGGGTAGAAATATGTGCAATTTTACCATGATGGGCATATTAATTTACTTATCACCTATGAGTATGGGATGGCAGAAAGAGCACAGATACCTTTGAGCTGTGGTACTGGAGAATAGTATTGAATATTCCATGGGCTGCCAGGAGAATAAAAAGTTTGTCCTGGAGAGGGTGAAACTGGGCTGCTCCTTGGAGCAAGGATTCTGACATACTTTGGGCGTGTTGCAAGGAGGGGCCAGTTCTTAGAGAGGGACGTCATGCTTGGGAGGGTGGAGGTACAGTGCAAGAGAGGAAGAGCCTCGATGAGATGGACTGATTCAGTGACTGGGCAGGTGTGTCAGAGACAATAAGATTGGCACAGGATAGAGCAGGTTTCAGGGCTACTGTACATCGGGTCTCTATAAGTCTCAAGCGATTTGTCGGCACATAACAACAACAAACAAATATCGCCTATAATATGCCCTGAAGCATTTGTAATTGGTGAAAACGACACACACTAGTTGGGTACCAGGGAACATAGTAGATGCTTTGCCACTAATTACCTGCCTGGCCTTAGCTAAGCCACTTCACTACCAGATTGCTTCATAACAACATAAAAGGGACCAGATGAACTCTATCATCCCTTCTGGTCTAAAAGCCAGTAAGTATTGGGCGCTCTGGTGGCCTAGTGGCAAGACACTGCATTGTAATCCCAAAGGCCCATGGTTTGAATTCACTAGATGCTCCGCTGGAGAAGAAGGGGCAATCTCCTCCTGTGCCAGTCGATGGTACACAACAAGAAAAGAAAGAAAAAAAAAACACCAAAACCAAAATCCAGTTAATATTATGAAACCAAAGAGCTGAGGTTCTATTAATTTTTCTGAGTTGTAATTGTACTAGTTAAAAAAAACCAATCAGTATGAAAAGGGAGAATTCTGACTAGCACATTCCTCAGACCCAGCTTTTCTCACATACCACATAAAATAAGTCATAAATAATCCACACAAGAATGACCATGTATGCCATTCTTGCAAAGAAAATGTGATTCTAAAACACACTGATTCAATATTTCAGCCAGTCTGGCTCATGAGGTCATCGGGTAGAAGCATTTTTCAAACATCCCACATGGCTCCTATCTCCTAATGTTGACCTGCTGGTTTTCTGGTAGGGAATTCCATCCCTGACTCTTGGTGACACTTGATCTCATACTCAGAGGAAATAAAATTATGCCGGATCCAGATTGGTTGCAGATCCACAAGGTTTTCATTGGCAGATTTTTGGAAATGGGTATCAGGTAATTTTTCCCACCTAGTCTGGAAGTGTTATTGAAATCACAGCAATGCACGAGCCTCCACTGACAGATAAGTGATGACTATATATTGGAAGCAGGAGTGGCATCCACTTCCTAAAGAACATGCCTCTAGAAATGCTATGAACTTTGAGAAACAATGATTGTTATAGAAAGGCTTCAGGTCTTCTGTCCATAGGGTTGCTATGAGTCGTGCTCGACTCAACAGCAATCAATAACAACAATATGTATGAGGTGCATTGACTGGGAATCAATCCTGGTCACTAGTATGTTGTTTGCTGGGTGTCATCAAGTCGGTACCGACCCATAGCGGACTCTCTGGCAGATATTCAGAAGCACTTTTATATATTTTTTTTTATTTATTCACTGTTGCACATTTTCTACCCTCCTTTCCTCACTCTCCCCCCAGCCCACCCCATAATACATCCTTGTTCTAAATTGTTCTCATGCATAATCATATATTCCTTTCAGATAGTTCTTCCCCTCATCGGTTCTAATGCAGTGTTCATTATCTATCCACTTTTTTGCCCTTTTCTTCTCCAATCCCCCCATGTTTGTCCTATTTTATAATAGTGCTGTTGAGCAATGCATATCCTTTTGTGACTGAGCTATTTCACTGAGCATACTGTCCTTAAGGCTCCCCTACGTTGTGTAATGTTACACTATTTCATTGGTTTTTAATGTTGCGTAGTATTCCACTGCGTAGATGTACCATTATTTTTCTATCCATTCGTTTGTTGATGAGCACTTACGATGCTTCCATCTCTTCGCTATTGTGAATAATACAGCAATAAATATGGACATCAGAGGCAGTTTTAATCACACTGGAGGAGTCTGCTCATCTCTCTTCTGCTGTGCAGTTGGTGGATTTGAACTGAAAACCTTTGGGTATGCAGAGCAGCTTCCTTGACACCAGGACTCCCTTGGTGTCCACTATTGCAGGTGAGAATTCTACCCTGAACCACAACTGTATATCATCAAGAACAAGCATCATAAATATATATAGGAAGGAAAGTAAATGTTTCCACCAAGAATGGGGCAAGAAAACCCTAGGAGATGTTCCAGAAGACCAACTGAAGCTCTTTTAATCTATGTCTTGGGGAAAGAAGACTTATCTTGACTGGACTTCTGGCCTAGAAAGTACATTTAAAATCCAAGTATAGCACTACTGCCTAAAGTCAGAATAGAACGCTTAAGAAGTGAAGAGTCAATAAGCCAAGATCTTCAGGACCAGGAGACATTGCAAAGCCACATGAGATAACGGGTTTAAAAAGAGAAAAGGTTTATTTATGCCTTGATGCTGTATGCATGATGCTGTTTCTCAGCAGAACACTTGTTTAAAATGCACATGTTCTAAAACACTAGTAATGTCCTCAAGAGCCTTGATTAATAAGCATAAATGCGGACGGCCGTTGGGTCCCTCCTCCTCAGGCAATCGGAGGTCCCCCATTGCCTAAATATTTACAAGTCGACAGAAGCAAATAACACATATGTTAGCAAATGAAAGCAGCTTTGAAAAGCTTCCATTTGGCCAGTGCTAAGGATTCTGTTTTCACAGAGGCTTCTCTTTTTGAAGGGATCAAAAATTTACTTCTCACAATCCTCATAGAGAAATCTGAGGAGAGGCATGGACGGTTCATAGCAAATTAGCGTTTCCCACCGAAACACACACACACACGCCTTTGACTCACCCTCCAAGCAAGCCTGGAGACCTGGCCAACATCTTCACCTACAAAGAGACCACCATGAAGGATCCAATCAACACCTCCTCTCCATAAAAATGTGTTTTGTAGAAACTAATAAAAATGGGTCCTTAAGACAATAGCCTCCTACTGATGTCCACAGGGCTGTTGGGAGTTAACACGTTGTGAAGCAAGCACACAATCACCAAAACATGCATGTGCTACTCCAGATTTTATGCACCAGGGGATTCTAAAGCGATCTTCATGTATTAAAAGAATTAACAGACACGAATATTCTGGTCTTGTGGCTGTGACTGCTACCTTCCCGGCGGTGGACATATGTTAATATATCTGTAATGATTTAAAGACATCATCAAAGGTGGTCTCTGTCTACTTTCACCTTCTAAGGTGAAAGAAGTGCCCGATGAACGAACGCCCACTCCACCTTCTCCACCAAAGGTGGTTGCTGCCTCTGGGAGACAGGATGGTGACCAGAGCGCCTCCGTCTCTGGCACTGGGGAGAGCCTGATTTTAGCAAGAGGCCCCAGGCGCATCCAGGAGCTTCGCGAGCCAGAAACGCGGAGGCCGTGCGGCTTCCTCATTAACGCTCCTGAAGGACAATAGCTCATCAAGCCCCGCGAAAGCCCCGGACCCGTCGGAGCCTGGGCTGGCGGGGGATGAGGCTGAGCGACTCCTCCTAGAGGTGGTTATGTGGAGAAGGAGCAATCCCTTCTCCCTCCTCCTCCTCCCCCCGCTACCATCCGAGGCCCGGAGAACTGCCGCTTGCCGCCATTGACACGCACAGATCGAACCCAAAGAAAGGCAAAGAGTCCTGCCCCGCACCGCGCCGCGCGGGCCGATCTGCGCCCGGCGAGGGGCGCGCGGAGCGCACGGGGCGCCCGAGCCGGCGGCGCAGCACCAGGTGAGCCCGCCATGGCCATGGCATTATTGTTTCGTGGGGCTCCAGGGTCTGCAAACAAAACGCGCCACGGGGGCAGTGCGAGAGGGGCCGGAGAGAGCCACCTCGGCCTCTCCCCACAGCCCCTGCGGGCGCACCCCCAATAATCAACCCCTCCCTAAGCAGAAATCAAGATTAATTCTTAAAGATGCCTAACTTGCTTCCTCGGGAAATAAAGGGGGGGGGCTACTAAGGAACAGTACAATTCTTGGGGCCAGCGAGGGGCTGGGGGCTTCTAGGGCCACGAGGGAGGGAGAGGGGATGCGGGCTAGAGTCGAGGCCCCCGGACGAAACTGGGGCGGGGGAAGCCCGGGGATGCGGAGTTCAGGGCACAGAAGAGGAAGAAGGGAGGCGCGCGGCCGAGGGGGACCAGGCAGGGGCGAGGGGCCGTGGAGGGGCCGAGCGAGAGCGGGCAAGGCCGCTCCGGGGCCTCCGAGGTGCCCAGGCGGGGTGCCGGCTGCTCCGGATGACAATGGAGGGGCGCCGGGCGGAGAGAAGGGGCCGGGGGCGGGCTGCGCCGGGAAGGTCAGGCCGGGGACGCCGGCGACGAGGCGAGGAAGGGTGCAGCCGCCCCGGCCGGCAGGCGTGCGCCCCGGGTGCCCGCGCGGAGGAAGGCGCGGGGCCGGGCACTCCCCTCCGGTTCCCTTTCCGGGGCGCCCGGAGCCGACGTGCGCTGCGCTTTCCCCGGGAAATGGCGGCTCCTCCGACAAATCTCAGGTTCTCGCTTTGCGCGGGAAAAAGGAAAAAAAAAAAAAAAAAAGAATAACAAGAGAGTAAGAAAGAGATCTAAAAAAAAAAAAGAATAAAGGGGATAAAAGTAAAGTGACTGCGGCGCCGAAAGGGCTGCGCTGGGCGCAGTGCGGGGCGCGGCGGGCGGGGGACCGGCCCTGCCTCCGGGCGCCCAGTTCGCTCTCCGGCCACGGACCGTGCGTGAGGCCTCGTCTGCCTCCAAAATCACCCCCACGGGTGTCTTTTCTCGCCAGGCCTCGGGGGGGCGCCCCCAGCTCCTGCCCCCCTTTGTTCCTCCACAACAATGGCTCCAGGACCACTGAACCCCAAAAGGGACAAATGAACCATTTTCTCCAGGACATTTCAAAGGCTGATTGCTCCTGGCCTGAAATGGATTGCAGTGGCCTTGATATAGGCCCTGTTAGTTGCTGGAGTGTCTTGGCGATGACTTTTCAGAGGGGCTCCACTGAAAAGCCCCCCCTAGAGTGGGCAAAGGATTGAAAAAAGTGAGAAGAAATGGGCTGAGAAACCAGCGCAGGTCCCTGTGCGTGTGTGAAGTGAGGTGAGAAAGCCTTAGCCCTAATTTTGAAGGCAGTTCCTTTATTACATTCTCCTAAGACTACATCCATCTGATCAGCTCAGGGGAATTCAAAACCAAGGCCCCCTTCTAGGCAACCCCCTTAGATTTCAGGAGCCGGTCCCTAGAGGTACTCAGTCCCTCTTGGCAAATGGTTTCCTCTTTGATTTGTGTTTGCCATTGAAACGGTTCAGTAGGTGAGAGCAAAAAGAAACCTTATTAAGAGTGAAAATGAGTGTTCAGTGATGCTGTTTCTTATTTAGAAACAGTTCCTGTGTGAAACAAATGAAACTACAAATAAACCTCAGCTCTTTCCTATTTAAGTGAGTCATCTCTTAATCCTTTGTTAGAAAATATTTGTTAACTGAAGGTTCTGAGCTTTGAAAAAAATTTGGAATCATGGTCACTGATTTTCATACTTATTTTAGACCAAGACTATCAGATAAATAAATACAGGCACTACCTGGACAACAAGCTTATCTCATATCACACAATCCACACCTTTAAACCCCCTGCGTGTATCTACATTTTCTTTAAGAACATTTCTCCTCTGTTGCCTTTGCTACCCTGTTAGTGATTCACCTGGATCCATTTATTGCTCTGCTTTCTGCATTATTAATGGTTTCCCTGGTTTCAAAACTCTATAAAAGAATTTACCTCCCTAGATCCAGAATGTTCCAAAAACTCTGACCCTACTCCCACACCATTCCATCTTCTGTCTAGTTCCCAGGGTTTTTGAGGCGCCTCTGGTCTGCTGTTTCCCAGCAGGACACCCTGCTAGCTATTGTCTGAGTCAACCCGTCTGCTGTCCCTGTCTCCTGCCAGCAAAGCCAGGGAGGCAAACCCTGACTTAGACAACTTGAAATGAAAGCTATCTCTAACTTGTCCAGGGGGGATGCACAAGGATCCAACCAACTTGCTTAAAAATTGATTTCATCTTAAATAAACCTTAGAGGCAGATGTGATCGCGCCAAATGCTTTCAACTGTACATTGCACAGATGGGCAGAGGGATTGTGGTTGAGAGATCATTCGGTGAGTGTATTGACTCCATGCTGAGGAGATAAAGAATTTTTAGTGTGTTGTGGGGTGCCTTCACACTGTGGACCATAACTCAACAAATTCAAACCTTGCCCCATCGCACAGCATCCTCGCTCTTGCAGTCACAATGCCAGTCTACCCCGCTGAGCATTTTCTATCCAGATAAAACAAAGTAAGAATGAGTAATGTTGGCCAGCGAGTGGACAAACAGGTACAGACTGAACATACTTACGCTGCAGAAAAGTTGTAAATTGACACAGTTGATCTGGAAGGCAGTTTGGCACTATTAAAACTAGTAATCTGCTTTCTTCTTCTATGAACCGTGATTGCAGTTGTCGGCATATAACCTGAAGGAATCTGGTAGCGTGCTCAGTTATGAGTTGGGCTACTAACTAACAGTTAAAGCCTCCAGCCACTCTGAAGGAGAAGGAGGAGCAGTGCCCTCCTCTGAAGATTTGTAGCTTCGGAAAGCTGATTTGTGAAGGTTGCTGTGCAGTGGGATGAACTCCCCCTGAGATGCCAGTGGATTTGGTTTTTTGGTCTGTGTCCTAGAGATGCAGGTGTGCATGTGCCCAGCGTGTGCCGGATTGTTCCTTGCAGGGTGCTGGTAGCTCTGTCAAACTGAAGATATCTTCACAGCCATCAGTAAGAGATAGCAATGTCAACTCAGGAGTCCCTGGATAATGCGATCAGTTAACATGCTCAGCTACTTGCTGAAAGGTTGAAAGTTCAAGAATACCCAGAGGTGCCTTGGGGGGAAAAGTTCCTGGCGATTTACTTCTGAAAAATCAGCTATTGAAATCTGTTAAAACACAGTGTATGCATCGGATACCCTTCTCCCTGGCTTGTGCTTTCCCTTCTGCATTCAAACCCTGCTAATTATTCATAAAGTCTAGGCCAGTTTCCTCCCTCCCCTCCAGCTTGATTTTTTTTTTCTCTCTCTCTTTGAAAATTATGATAGCAGTTTGTGACTTTAATTACATCTTACTGGTAGCCTTTAAATTATTATTTGTATGTAGTTATCCACGCAATATATAAATTAAATCAACTTCTAAACTTTCGAGTATTCTAAATAATAGCTAAGGATGCCTGTAAATAATAATGTGATTAAAATCCTCCTTACAAGCCTGCTTGAAGTCTGTCTGGTGTAGTAGGTATCTTCTTCCAGATCTTTCCTGTGGAGTTACGTGTGCATTTTTACTTACAGAAATGTGTGGCTTTATTTCATTTTACATCACTGGTACCACATCATATTCAATGTTTTATAATTAGCTTTTTTTATTATTGATATGTCTTGGTGACCTTTCTATCTTCATATATATAGATTTGCCCCATTCTTCTTAACTGCTTTCTAATATTCTAGAAAACAGATAATTTGGGAGTTTATACCACCACCATCAGTGGCTATTGAGTTAACTCCAACATATTTTAGCCTCATGTGATTCAGAGCAGAACTGTGATTCATAAGTGATTTTTTTGAAAGTAAATTGCCAGGCCTTCTGAGTCACTCTGGCTGGACCTGAACTACCAACCTTTCAGTTACTAGTAGATGAACTCCTGAATTATTTGTTCAGTCTGTTATGTTAGGTGCCGTCGAGTTGTAGACGACTCATAGCGACCCTATGAACGAAAGGCCTGAGCACTGTCTAGGGACTCCAAAATTAGAAATAAGGGACCAGGTGCTCTCCCAAGTCGTTTTTTATTTGATTATGGTTTGATGAAATCCTCTGAATCTTAAGATTTCCATGATTGTGAATTCCTAGGCAGATGGCATTTTTCTCTTTTGTGTTTAGAGGCCAATTTGTTTATGTTTGATTTGGGGAATTCAGTATTAGACCTAGAGGGGCCCCAAGGTGCCCAGTCTAGTTAAAAACACAAGTGTTCTCTGTCCTGAGGGTTCCCCACAAACTCTGTGACTCCCAGCATTGGGATTTCACTGCCGCTCCTTCATCCCAGCTTCAAAGATTAACAAGAAAGGAAAGAAAAATGTTACTGAGTTTGAGCCTCATGTAACTTACACACACAACTCCACACACTGTGGTATAATAGTTGATTTTTAAATAAGTGGAGAATTAAACAGAAATACGCTCAAGATAGTGACAGTCTTGTCTTATTTAGGATTCCCTATAGAAACAGAAAGATGGCCAGTCTCCTCCCATGTGATTTACTGCCTCTAAAAACCTGCTGAAGAGTCAGCTATGAGTCATTTCTGACTTAACGGCACGTAACAATAACAACATAAGAGAAGTATAGTATCTATATATTCCTTCCTTCATTTAAAAGCAACAAGCAAAATCACAACTGAAAGTTGTGTGTATGGTTACTTGAGGCTCAAACTATTTCTATACAAGGAATCCTGGTGGCATATTGTTGTTGTGTACCATCAAGGTGGTACCGACCCATAGGTGTCTAACTCTCCAGCGGGTTTTCAGAGACAGTCACAAGGAAGGGGATTACTCACCTTTCTCCTGCAGAGCAGCTGGCAGATTCGATCCTTGTACCTTTGGGTTGACAGCGCAATTCCTTACCACTAAGCCACCAGAACTCCCTTCTAGTGGAGTCGTTTATAAAATATTGGATTGCTAACTGAAAGGAAAAGCCGGAGCACATAACAACTGA